CAATTTCAATTTTAATCCAACGTTCTTCCCGCCATCTGCGAAGAGGTTGACTGTGAGGAAGGAGAGGGTCGTTGGGAAAGTCCTCCTTTCTTACTTTCAGCAAAGTAAGTGGCATGCCCGCAACCAGATTTCACACGTGCGAGGTCACTAGAGGATTTTTGAGGAAACAATCTTTTTTTGGCATGCCTGGTGGGACATCATCGTGTCTTACTTACAGTTTTCAGATCCGTTGTTCTTTTTTCCAAGAAAAAGTGCAATTATGCCACCAAAAAGAAACCTTGGGAAGGCTGTCCAAACTTTACAAATTGGGCTTGGTGAAGGCAGTCCAACACATTCAGAAGGAGAGAATGAGCCAATCATTCCACCACCATTGTCACCAATACTTAGGGAGCATTCTTTTGTCAATCCTACTTTCAACAAGGGTAGTGAATCTGGAGATGATGTTGCTCAATCTCGTGATTCTCTTGTGAAAGCTGTGTCAGATCATATTAGCATCATGTGGCACACACTGATGGAATCTGAGGAGAAAGCTCGACAAAGAAGCCAAGAGGTTTCTAGACAGTTGGATGAGTCTTTTAAAAATTTGGCTCAAAGTGTAGCCCAAAGTGTAGCCAACATGCGGCGATCTAATGAAGAAAGTAACAGAATCTGGTGCGAGCAAAATGCAGAAAATTGGAGAGCTTTCCAAGTTGAAACGGAACGAATGCAAGAGGCATTTCGACGTGTCAGAATTGAGCCTTAGCCACAAGCAGCAAATCTTCAAAGGCAGAATCAGAATATTCCAGCTCCAGCACTCGGGGGGCATGTTAATCTGCCACAACCACCTCCCCAGATTTAGCAGGTAGCAAGTGGACCAGTGCAGCCAAATCCTGTTGAGGCTGCACCACGTGTGGCAGATTTGGGTAATCACCAGCAACCCAGATATCTGCCACCTCCGCGCCGACCGAATGGAGGACATCAACAGCATAATGCAACTCCACAAAAGGAGCATTTCCAGCCTTATGTGCCACCAGTGCAGCAAAATCTTCCAAATCTGCCAGGACAGTACATCAATCGTGATCAGATTATTTACATGGTGCAAGAGGCTTATGGTCCAGTTCTGAGGCCTCTTGTTAGACCTGCTTACAGAAAACCATATCCAGATTACATAGACCAAGAAAATCCTTTTCCAAGGGGGTTCAAGGTTCCAGAATTCACTCTATTTTCTGGAGATGGTGGATATTCTTCAATCGAACATATAGGCCGCTTCACAATTCAATGTGGCGAGGCCTCCAGTGATGATAATCTGAAGCTCAGATTTTTTCCTAGCTCATTAACTAGTACAACTCTCACCTGGTATCTAAGTCTGCCACAGAATTCTGCTTATACTTGTAGGCAGATGGAAGATCTTTTTCACATCCAGTTCTACTGTAGTGAGCCAGAAGTGTCCATGGCAGATTTATCTCATCTGGTGCAGCGACCTGGAGAAACATCTGAGGCCTTTCTGGCCAAATTTCGGAAGGCCAGACTTAAATGCAGAGTTGCCCTGCCAGAACAGGAATTTGTTAAGCTGGCACAAAATGGTCTGGACATTGAATTGAGGAAAAA